TCTTATGTGGTGCTGAGGAATCAAACCCAGGGTCTCAAGCATGCAAGGCAAGCGCTCTACCACTGAGCCACCTTCCCAGCCCTGCCTCAGTGTCTTCTGTGTGTTAACTCTGTAACCCAACAGCCCCTGGAGGAGCCGCTGCTATCATGTTTATCAAGCAAATAAAGAAATCAAGGCACAGAGAAGTGGAGCCAGTGGCCTGATGCCACCCAGCTAGCAAAGCTGGAGGCAGGATGCATGCGTAAGACAGATGGCATCAGACCTTTCTCTCCCCATGGACGAGGGGGAGATGAGAAAGGGAGATGAGGTTCTGTCTCAGGACATTTGTCTACTTTTGCATGCATTTGCATACTTTTGCTTATTTGGCATTTCAGCTGCCCTGCAGCCTGAAGGAGATATGGAACCAGCCTCATGTTACAAAGGAGACCATTAAGAGCAGAGAAGGGGAGTGATTTCTCCAAGGTCACTCAGCGAAGGGCTCAGATTGCAGCGTGGACTGGCTCTGCTGAACTCAGTGTTCCCCAAGAAACAAGGCTTTGGACACCTGCTGCGAATGAAGAGCTAGGGGCGGAAGAAGTTCTTGGAGAAGCACCCCAACTGTGTCTCTAGCCTACTGTGGAGCCTCCCCATCCTCATCTGAAACCCGGTGTGCTGGACCAGCAGGCCCTCCTCGCTGGTATCCACAGCCTCACGCAGGAAGATGCTGGGACAGGGCTTTCTGCTCCCCTCCCCTCGTGGCCTCTCTTGTTAGAGTAGCTGAGAGTTTGCACCGAGTCTGTGGAGTATGTGCTGCCGCCTGCTTGCAGCCTTGATGTTCACAGGGAGTCTTGATGCGCATAAGCAGCTGAGCAACGGGCAGAAAAGTCTGTGAGACTCATCTCCAATAAGCTACTAGAAAATGGGAAGTGGCACTGTAGTAGAGCGCTCGCCTTGAGCTGAAGAGCTGAGGGACAGCGCCCAGGCCCAGAGTTCAAGCCCCATGACCAACAACAACAAAATAATAATCTGGGCAAGATATCCATCTCAGGTCCAGTGATGGTGGCTCACGCCTGTATTCCTAGCTGCTCAGGAGGTTGAGAACTGGGGATTATGATTCAAAATCAGCCAGGGCAGAAAAGGCGGTGGGACTCTTATCTCCAGCGAAACAGCAACAAGTTGCTTCATGCTCCAGTGCTAGCCTTGAGCAAAAAAGCCAGGCAAAAACATGAGGTGCAGAGTTGAAACTCAAGTACTGGTAAACATGTGAGTGAGTGTGTGCGCGTGTGCACGCACACAGACGTGCGTGCACACACACAGACACGCGTGCGCGCGCGCACACACACACACACACACATGCACACACACAGATGTTCATCTCAGCCCAGAGCGTCTTCTGGCTCAGGAATCCTCTCTCCACTGCCTGGTCAGCATTTACTGTACCTTGTAGCAAAGCAGCACTCACAGTGCACCTGTAAGAAGTGAGCTCCCAGGCCCAAACCCACACAAGGAGAGGCTACTTTTGGATACATGGATGGCCTCCAGCTCTGTGAAAGAATAAAGTTCTGTTGCTTTAAGCCATGTGCTGTGTAGTTATTTGTGACAACAGCCCTTGATCGAATGGTGGGAAGCCAGAGAGTTTCTCACATCCCAGTTCTGAGGGTTGGCTGGGCCGAGTGGTTCTTGGGTTCCATGGTCGCTTGGATGACAGGCTGCAGTCAGCCAGTCAGCCGGGAGCTGGGCTGAGGTCTCAGGACTGGCAGCTGGTGCTGGGTACCGGCTATTGGCTGGGACACCTCAGTCCTGCTTGATCTCCTTTCTTCCTTCCTTCCTTCCTTCCTTCCTTCCTTCCTTCCTTCCTTCCTTCCTTCCTT